GGAGTAAGCCTCCTTAACTTCTAAAGGACTAATTAGTCTAAAATATTACCTTTTCAGAACACGAGCTAGAATGGATTTTTTGTGTGGCAATTGTTCATAGATACCCCTAACTCTTAAAGTTATATCGTGGTTCCGGGAGAAAACCTTATTATTGTTTTTGGTGACTTAAAATCTAATAATGTATTGCAAAACAAAATTTAGCGAGTAGGAGGAACATACTAATGTTCACACATTGGATGTGGAAAACGGAACATGGCTGTATATCTTAGGGTTAGATTATTATTTTTTTAATGAATGGGTTAGATATATTACATATTTTATAATTACAACGATATCAAGCTTTTAAACTTATATGGATCACAAAGATTTATAGTTTTCAATTCAAACCGTTAATGAAAAATCCTAAACAAAAAGGCATTTGTTTCTCTCTTTAGTCTCTTATTGATTTCGTTTCGTTATTGTTCTTCGTTACCGAATTCACTACACTATCTCCAACCCTAAACCAAATCTTCATCGTTAATAAGGTTTAATTTACTTGTTGCATGTCTCTCTTTAACATCTTCTATGATATTTTTGAAACGTCACGTTCTTCTAATTTGTTTTTGCTAAAACGTACTTCTACTATTTCGATGGTTTTAAATGACTTTCAGATTGAACCAGGTAACTAAATTTTGTGAGGTCTGATTTTAATATGAATATGAAATAATATCGGCTAAACTTTAAATTTAGTAAATATTGTAGTAGAGAACAAAAGACAACAGCCACTTACCACCTTTTGTCAGGCTACCTTCTCGTTAAGCAAAAAAGGCACACGGCAAAAATCAGCACTTTCGTTTTCGTACTACACGACACATTTTTGGGCCCTTAGATTTCTCCAAAGAACACTCTCTAAGCTATAAATCTGGAGGAAACAAAAAAAAATTCTTCTTTTCTTGAGTCTCCGGTTTGATCCGGTTTACCAAATTTTACCTGATTTCATGGATTTTTTTTATTTGCTGTCAAACGATACCGGACTGGCAGATGGGTCACAGCCTGATCGGTTCGATCCGATTTTTTTTTAAATATATTACTTTTTTTAAAAATGGGTAAAAATAATAAATTTATAGTTCACCAAAGATTTTTTACCCAATTTGCTACCTGTGAAATAAAAAATATATATTATGTTAAGAAATAGGCATAAACTAACATCTAAAATAAACAAAAAACACTATATATAATGATTTTGAGAATCCTAATAAATAACTATTTTGCGTCATTTATTTTAGATTACCATTTTCTACATTTTGTTCCCTTTTCAAAAAGCCATTCAATGTGAAAATCAAAATTTAGTCCTAAACATATTTTCTTGCTTAATAAAGATAAATAAATTTAAACCAAAGCCTTTCTGTCAATATTTGGTACTAAGATTAATATATTATTGACCAAAATTAGATATTTAACATCTTGCTATAACTTCAAAAGATGTAATTCTAAATTCTAAAATAGCCAGATTCGATAGCCATGTGTTCCAACTTTCAACTGAACGTATCTAAATCTACCATTTTTAATCTTCTTTCCAAATGTAATATAAAGAATAAAATCCCAAAAATTAAATAAATCAATCAATCAGCAGGAAATTTCGTCGAAGTTGCCTTGTGTGGACCCAATAAACAAAAAAAACTAATCAGTACTATTTAAACATATGTGACGCAATTTACATAAGACTCAACAAAACAAAATACTAGAAGAAATCGAAAAGACCAAAAAAAAATTTCATATTTTGAATCAGTGGACAGAAATGGCGGGGATCGTACCGGAACAGTGGTCGGCAGCGGAGAACGGAAACGCAAACGTGACGGCGAAAGGATCGAGCAGAGAGTTAAGACATGGAAGAACAGCTCATAACATGTCTTCTTCTTCGTTGAGGAAGAAATCAGACCTTAGAGTGATTCAGAAGGTTCCATGCAAAGGTCTTAAAGATTTTCTATCAAATCTTCAAGAAGTTGTTCTCGGAACAAAGCTTGCCATTCTTTTTCCGGCCATTCCTGTCGCCATTATCGGCACTTATTGTGGCTTCAGTCAGGTATATACTGCATTCGTTTCATAATATGTTTTAGATGATGCGCGAAAATTAAAAACAAAATATATATATTGTAATTCTCCTTTCTTTTTCTTTTTCTTTAAAAACTAAAAAAAATAATATATGTATTTCCTCTAGTCTTTTTTTTTCCAGAAAGTAAGAAAGCATTCTAATCATTCATTTCTTCTTCTTTTCTTTTTTTTGGTCAGATCATTTTTCTTTAGATTATTTTGCCACGTAATTGTGAATGTATGTAAATACTTAACCATATATTTACTTAATAATTAAATCGTGAATATTATTACAGCCATGGATATTTGGACTGAGCTTACTAGGACTCACACCTTTGGCTGAGCGAGTCAGTTTTCTGACCGAGTAAGTATTCATATCTCATGAGTTTTTCACCTTGTGGAATTTTTCTTTTCGATTAAGACAAGATTTAGCCAACTGTATATATAGATGATGTTAGTCGTATCTATCCATTTGTAGATAAAATATCACGTTAAATCAATA